AAACCTTAGATATTTCCCTTTCATTTGATATAATTTTTTTTGAAAATCTAACACTTATTCTGCTCACTGGGGGGATTTAAAATAGTAACTTTTTTACAAAAAATAACTTTTTCAACTTAATTTTTGTAAATGTTCCGGGTATACTGCGTCCTTTAAACATACATAAAATTAAAGCTTATTTTATGTACTACAAAATGAAAAAAAAAAATCTGTCCCGACGACCTATCTTCTATACGCAAATGGCTACCATATTCAAAAATATGCTATTTTTGTATGAAAATTATGGGTTTTGTATTTTATTTCAATAGAAGTTGATGTTGCTTTTGCAATTATCCATCAATTTTTTAAAATTAAACACTATCTACAGATTTGCATCGAAGCGTTTCTTATGATAGTGATTTTAATCACTGTCAGATTAAATCTATACTGGACCCNATGTTCGTTATTATCCTATCTTTTTTAGTCACTCTTGTTAACCGTCCAACACTCTGAACCACCCTCATGTTTTATTGTTGAGCACAAATTTTTGCCATTCATCTGCTTATCAGTTTTCTTCACGCCATAACTCCCCCACCTGAACCAAAAATATTAAACTGTTTTTCATCACTAAATAATACAAACTTCCAAAAATCATTTTCCTTATTAATTTGTGTCTTCGCAAAATCTACACGTTTCTTTTTTTCTTCATCTCTGCTACGCTCATTTTTTGCTCTACTTTCTTGTCAATCGCCCAACACTCTGAACCATACATCATTACTGGTCTCACTGTAGTCTTATCAGCTTCATTGGAATTCTTTTATCGCCCAACAGACCAGACGCTTCTTTCCACTTCAACCATCCGTATTTAATCCTGTGTCTTACAGCCTCGTCAATACCTCTATTATATTAATGTACCTTTTTGGGACTCCTTTTCTCATTAATGCTACTTTAAACCTCTCTCGGTTCTCTATCATACCTTTTCTCCAAATCTATAAATACCATACACAACTTTTTCATCTTTTGCCTATATTTTTCTATTAGTTGTCTCAGACAAAATAATGGCTCCATTGTTGACTTAGCAGGCATAAATCCAAATTGATTTTTAGATACCGATGTCTCATTTCTTATTCTCTTATCTATTACCTTTTAGTAAACTTTATGCTTCTATAATTTCCACACTTCTGTATGTCTCCTTTACCTTTAAATATCAACACCACAATACTATTCCTCCATTCTTTTGCATTTTTCCTTCTAATAAGATTTTTAAAAAATGAAAACAAGATACATAAGACATTAAAAAAATTGTTTTGATTCAAACATTTTTCAAATAGCAGTTTTAAGTAAAAAGTTTTAAAAATTGTAAATTTTTAGACAATTTTTCCTATTTACAGAAAACGAGGAACATTTTTTCAATTTTTTAGGGTAATGTCTTTAACTAGATAAAATTTTTGAACTTTGAAAAATATCGATCCAGTAAAAGCTGAAAAAAGTGGTAATGGGCACAAAAAAGACACAACATAGTAAAATTAATCTCAGCTTTGCATCGAAGTTAATACAAAAAAGACACAACATAGTAAAATTAATCTCAGCTTTGCATCGAAGTTAATACGTCAAATTTGATTTTTTTTATAGTAATCCTTAAGAAAAAACAAATATATATATATATATTTTACTTACTGCTAAATTACCACACATATGAGTAATAAGTTGCATGGTTGCTTCCTTAACCCTTACTACATCCCATTCGTGACCCTTCACCATAACCATAGTTGAATGAAGCTTTGGTCTAGTACGAAACATGACATGAACATTATAATTTTCTTGAATAGAACCAATGTATGGGAATTGGCTAGATGGATCTTGATAATTTTGGACAGTTCCAATATTTGGCCAATCAAAACAAAATATCAATGGAGTCAATTCCTAAAAGATTTTTTTTATGTATAAAACTAGAAAACAAAATATCACAGAATTTTTTTTATAAATCTAAAATATAATTTTAGGATATTCAAAAACACTTAATCAGCATGCATGTTATTTGAATAACATATTTTAATGCTTGTTATACTTTTTATTTAACTTAAAACCTGAAACGCAATGTTTTAATCTAATAAAATTTGATATTGTAGCGAATTATATTTCTGCATTTTGTTATAATCCTACAACAAAGTCACGCTATCCTTGAATCCCTCAAAGTGACTCAAACAAAATTTATAATTGCATATAATTCACAGACCCGAGTATAATCGTATTATGAATTTGATCGTTTTATTATTATAACGAAATAATTATTAAGAAAAATTTATGTCTTAAACTCATTTTTACAATATATTTACATAGACAATTTTTTCTCAACACTATCGAATATACCAATAACATTATCAAAAACCCAGCACATGGGGGTCGCAGCACAGTGGTGAAGTGGCATAGTTGGATCAAGTATAATGATATCTGACAGTGATTAAAATCACTATCAAAATAAAACGCTTCGATGCAAATCTTTAGATAGTGTTTAATTTTAAAAAATTGATGTATTATTCCAAAAGCTACATGATCTGGTAGTTCCTTATTAATATCCTGATTAAGATAAAGTATGTCGAATGAAAAAGGGATTATTAAAAAATATTATTTCTCATAAAAAAATTGTGTTGATCCATACACTTTTCAATAAGTTATAGCATCATAATGTTAAAAAATGTAAAATATAATATCAAGAATTTTTTCACAAAAATAGCATATTTTTGCATACGGTAGTCATGTTCACCATGAAGACAAGTCCAGAGTTCTAATTTTTTTTTTTTAAATAAAGTAAATTACATAAGCTTTAATTTAAGGTAACAGACACAAAAAAAAAAAAAATAAACACATCTTAGTAAAACCAATACCTTCTCAGCTTCGCATCGAAGCTAAAAAACATTGGATCACAGTGGTGGATCCAGAGGGGTGGGCGTAAGGGCCGCACCCCCCCCCTCTTTGCTATTGGCTTACTGGTTAAATTTAAATACCTTTAATTAGGTCTTGGTATCTAAAAATTTAAAAATAAAAATAATAAGTGCATGCGAATTGTGTAGGAACACCCATATTATCGAAATAACATCATATACATTATAACTGTTTATTGAAGCAATATTTAATATATGTGAAGCAACTGCTGTTATACAAAAATCTGCTAAGAATACTATGAAATGTCCATGCTTAAATCATTCGTTAAACAATAATTTATCTAGATCAAATAAGGTTCAAAGTGTTAGAAATGCTATTGGAACCATTGAAGAAATAGTCAAGTTTTTCAATGTTTCTGCTAAAAGAAATTTCGTTTTAAAAAAACATCTGGGGTATAAACTTACAAGTCACTGTGTAACTCGCTAGGTTTAGAGGCATGATTATATATTAGAATTTATTAATTACCTTCCATTTATTTAAAAAGTTTAATAAAAATTTCTGCATGACATGATTATTTACTTCATCAAAAGCCAACTTATTATGCAAAGTTACACAAGATGGTGAATATGTTATGAATATTTTTTGTTTAAATGATATAATGTGTCTAACAAGACCTTTAAGTATACTACTTCAAAATAAAATATAGACCATTTTTCTGCTAATACTATAATAGAAGACCTTAGAGAAGTACCGAGGAAAAAACGGAATGATTCCAATAAACATTTTGATATTATATTTAAAAATGTCAATGAAATTATATCTAAATTAAACTCTGAACTAAAACTTCCTAGGACTACAGAAAGGCAGATCAATAGAAATAATATTAAAGTTGACTCTACAAATGAACAAGGTTACTGGAAAATAACAATTTACATTCCAATTCTAGATGAAGTAATTACAGATTTTGACATTAGATTATCTTCTAATAATAATTCTAATTTTCTTCAGTGTTTCAACCTTAATTTTTTAATGCTATCAAATCTAATATAATTTCTTAAAAATACTGAATAATATAATAAATCTTTAAAGGATATTTCTGATGAATATAGTGTTATTTGGTGAATCTACTTTTTCTATTGAAAAAAAACTCAGGGGTGAAATATCTTTATTAGAAAATTTAGGTCAGACATTGAACTAACTACTATAACATCACCTATAACATTATTCGACAATCTTGATACTTAATACTTCCCAGTATTATCATTGTTAGTTAAAATACTTAATATAAAAAGAATTTATGATTAACGATTTTATTTTTATATACCTATGTCCACAAAGTCATCAAAAAACATATACTATAGTAATTTAAAAAATTATTATGCAGCAAACATTAAATAAATTCTTAAAAATAGAAATGTATTAAACACAAAATAATAAATCAGTTCTTAAAAAAAAAAATGTATCTAGTAACGCCCCCCCCTGGAATAAATTCTGAGTCCGCCCCTGTTGGATCGTAAATAGTTGGTCTAACATTTTTTTTCTACAGAAATTATACATAAATTTTAATTATTATAAATTAATATAATTTATATAAATGAAAAACATTATATAAAAACTATTTATAATTTAATTATTTTATTAATTATAAAATATTATATTGTATTTATAAATTACCCGAACACGTGCTCTAGCTCGTTCGACGGCACCACAATTTCCAGCAATAGAAACTTGATTACTTTTTTCCAGTAAACTTGTACGGTTTGAATCCGGAAAATGAATATGACATCCAGTATTTTCCATTACTTGCTTAATTGTCAGACCTCCTCGCCCAATAATATGAGAATGGTCAGTGTAGCTTAGGTCCAACTTCATTGTCACACGATTACTCTAAAACATTAATTGTAATATACAATCAGTGCCGTATTTAGGAGTGGTTCAGAAGGCATTAGTCTCTTCCTGAAAAAAATTCTTTGAGGCGAATCTCAATATAATAGATCAAAACTTTTAAATATTGCTAACAATGGTGAATCAAATAACAATTTTTTATTTTAATATTCGTAGTCATGACTTAATGATATTTTATGTTCTTTATTTATATTTTAAGATTATCATCATAAAATTAATAAACATTGAAAAAAATTTTTATAAAAACATTTTGATCAATAAAATTTATATAGCCACCTCACGCCAAAATCTTATAAATGGTCCTGAATAGAATTATAACAACTTTAACCTAACTTAAAGTGAAAATAAACACAGTTAAATAGAAAACTTTTTTACTCATCTTTCATAAATCGTATTAAATTTAAGTAAGAATAAGGTTTTAATTTAAAAGGGAAGACAGTGTAAATTAAAAATATTTAACTATTTCTAATATTGAAATAAACTCCTACAAATTTAATTAACTTTTAGCATACCCTATCATCTAAGACGCTCATTACTTGCATTTTGGCCGCTTTAACATCATCTGGAAGTCCTGCGATTCGAACATGTGGGTCTAAAAAAGTATTTACGTTCATATTATTAAAATATTAAAAATCATTTTACCATATAAATTTTTATCATTTTTGAAGACCTTTAAATTCACACTATAATTTAGTTAGTGTTTCCTCAAGAGTCAGTGGCGTATTTAGCGTATTGGACACTCGTAGGCTAAATTATTTTTCTGACCTCTCTATATTAGAATTATAAGGAGGTAGCTTTAAAAAAAAAAGTCCACTCTCTAAAAATAAAGTCAGCCTGGGCTCCATCCACCTTAGACTACTCCTAAATACACCACTGTTAAAAGTACGATTTTCATTATTAACAATCATTAAAATTATAGGTAAACTAAAAAATTAGTATATTAGTAGAAACTGAATTTCTAAGCAATAATTTTTGATACACTATATGAAAGGAAAAGATAAGGATTAAATCTCCATAATGAAATCCTGAGCATGCCACTGCAATTTTTAACTAAAAACTTGAAAGTTGTTAATCAAACAACAAAAACTAAACGTATCTTTTTTTTGGTGATAAAAAGAGTACATAGTAAATTAAGAATAAAAATTTTAAATAACATAATAAAAAAACACTAAACAGGAAGATGATTTTAAACTATTTTTTACCAACCTTTTTTAGATTTTGCTCCAATTTTTAACCTAGTTGGCCATAATATTAATGTTCTAGTATCAGTCATAACCTGTATCAAAAAGTTTTTAAAAAATACCAATAAATTAAACATAATATACTAGAAATATTAAATTATTAATAGAAAATTAATCCAAATTACTTTTTGAAAAAAATTGACTGCCGTAATCCCGTCTTCTCCATCACCTTGAAAATAAATGTAAATTCAATTATAAATTCAACCGTTGATTATAGACGCAAAACTAGGCGACTAAAACTCACCAAAAGTGTTGTAAAAAAAAATATAATTCTTTGATATGAAATATTTTTAAAGTTATGGAAATAAAAATTTAGTCTCTTACAAATTTTATACTAGTCGTGCTTATGTCATTAAACTTAATAACATACTGTTTTCCCCTTATTAGTTATTTATTCATAAATAATAAGGGAAAAATAATAAAATAGGTGCGGGTAAAAAGCCCTATCTTACATATCAGCATACACCGTTAAAGATAATATTTTTAGTGTATTAAATTTTAACTTATTATACTGCAATGCAACTTCAATATAATATCAACACGTTTAATATATATTAGATATTTAAAAATTCACGTAGAGTTATTTATCTAATAAGTTCCAAAAGATTTGATGAGCCGATTTGATTTAATCGTTTGTTTTTAAAGCTAAGTTAAAAAAAATCTTGACTATTAGAAGTATATTTTAATAATATTGGAATTATTGGTAATTTGGAAGTAACATTTTTGCAAAATAATAAATCATAATATCGTTCCAAGTTCAAAAAACAATAAGATATTGATTGTTTTCTCAGTAAATGAAAAATATGCCTGATATAGGCTCCACCAAAAATAAATACAATAATTATTATTATTATTGTATTATTTAAAAGTTTTAATTATAATCATAACTTTTAATGTATAGAGTAAAATATATTTTTTTTGTAAAATTGATAAAAATTCACATCTAATTGATTTCTAAAACTTCAATCTTCCCGATCGACTTATAAAATACAAGTATACCATTAATTTCATTGTACCATAATATCTTATATTTTCGAATAAATTAAACTAATCTTAATTAACCTCAATTATTAACATGTTTTTTATGGATTTCCCCAGTTTTTAAAACTAATAATTAGTCAGTTTTAGTTTTTCCGAAGAATTTATTCTACAATATATATGATATTTTTATGTCTAATTTAAAATAAAATGTAAACAGTTTTCATTATCGTTGTATACTGTAGACTTATGTGCATAACATACTTACAGTGTAACATGGCCTCGAGCTTTTTCCTGTCGACTTTAAACCGTTCCTTAGCTAAGTCTTCTGTTGACTCTAAGCCCAAGGTAATTGCCAGCTGATGCATTTCTTCACGGCTGTCACTATAGCTCCTTCCAGATGTTCCCGTTCCCGAATCTGACACCTCAGACATGGTGTCTGAGCTAGCGGCCGAGGACATAGCGGCCATGCTGTTTGCTGTACTGTTGGTCATTTTACACTACCTAAGTGGTCTATTTGAGTACAATAACCGGGACGTCCAGAGTGACGGTACCTATCTACTGTATAATGTTATCGAGAGATAATAAATTTAATTTAACTATGAGGTTATCGAAATAAAATTGAGAATACGAAATCGTAACAAATGGTAGGGGTATCTTGTTTAATTTTAAATAGTTGTCAATATCATATCAATATCTGCGAAAGATTATACTTAACCAATACCTTTAGATGTGTAATTTTATCATAACATTAATCTATTAATAAATAAATAAATTAATGTATTAAAACTCTTTTTAGAGATCAAAATTTTAAAATTACAATCATTATTTTGAAATTGAGAAGATATTATATTTTAACTTGCATGTTTTTTTTATTATTTATTCCCATTAACAATACATTAATTATAATTATAATTTTTGTAATTAGGCTTTTAATCGAATATTCGGTTTGTAAATGCATTTATTACAGTAAATGTAATTGGTTTCGGTTATTATTGGAACATATCTAAGTTTTATAGAGAAAGCTTTAGTAAGAATTTGCATTACGAGTGAAATAGATAGCTTAGAATTAAGGGTTGAATTGTAAATAACCCATATTATTGGTCCAAAAATTTACTGAAGTGTTTGAAACATGTTCATCTCAATGTTTTTTTAATAGTTTTAAACGCTATTTAGTAAAGTTTAGTACAAAATAATTTAAGTTATCGCTAGTAAAATATAAGGAAAGCGCAAATTTATCAACTAAAATTTTAATTTGTCATCTAGAGACCTTTATATAGGTTATGAATTTAAATTCCAAACCCAATTTCATCCTCTTAGAAGCAGAATTTATATAAGCGATAAAAATAAAAGGGCAGTGTTTCTCATGGAAGTACGTGTAAAGTTTATAAATTAAATAAAGATTAGACAGTAGACATCACCACTTCGACACGCACACTATTTCTTTTAGAGAAGGGTATTCTAGAACTTGGCCCTTTTTCACAGTTATTTTTATAGGGATATTTTTCTTTCTGTTTGCTTTAAATTCTAGAGCGACGTTATAATTTTTAATAAGTATATTAAACATAATTATATAAATTTATTTATTATATATTTCAATGAAAGCATAATTTTAGTTAATAATTTAAAATTAAAGCGACTTTAATTTCAGAATTTTTTATTACTTTCACTTTAAAATGTATCTCTGGCCTGAATTTCATGTTTCTATCTATACGGGAAGTATCACATAATTTTGATAATGAATGAGTGAATAACAAAGTAGACATTTTGAAATAATAATATTAACTTAATATTAAGAACTCATCTCTCACAGAATTTTAGTCTAATAGAGTATCATCTATACTTAAAGTTTCCAGCAACTATCTTAAGTAGAAACTGATATATGTAGATCTGAAAATCCGGTGAATAGTTTCGTGTAAAGATACTCGTGTATTTCTAGAACTTAGTCCAGCGAACTGCTATGCGGTCAGATAATATATAAATTTTAAAATCTGAGGCAGTCAAGACGCCATTGCAATTACGGTACATATTAATTAGCGTGTCTACATAAAGGATTATCTTTAAAAATATTTTTTCCAAGCTTCGCCTAGACGAGGCTCTGTCCCAACCCAGGGCCCTGTATAACTCAAGCCTACGGCTCGTTAAGTCCTTTGGACAGTTCTTAAAAGATGGCCACTTATTCCGGTAGGAATACAAAGCGTAGCCGGGTACAATAAGTGTATTTTAATAGAAAAATAGTCCACATTTGTAAATAAAATAAAAATATAACAACAAAAGACTTAGGTGTATTTACAATTATACTTCATAATAATAACCGACTAATTAGACTAGTTTACAACAAAATTGACCTATGACTTATGATAGTCATTTTTTATGTAAAATCGTCCACTGAGTCCGAAAATAAAAACTGATAAAAAAAATTAAGATAAAGTATGTCGAATGAAAAAGGGATTATTAAAAAATATTATTTCTCATAAAAAAATAATGTTGATCCATACACTTTTCAATATGTCATAGCATTATAAAGTTAAAAATGTAAAAAATAAAATCGAGAATTTTCACACAATAATAGCATTCGGGAGCCATTTTCACCTTGAAGATAAAATAAAGTCCGAAATTTTTTTTACCATAATAAAGTATATTACATTAACTTTAATTTAAGATATATATAAAAGTGTCAGACTTTCCGGAACACTTTCAAAAATCAAGTTGAAAAAATTAATTTTTTGTGAAAAAAATGTCATTTTAAATCCCCCCCTGTGGGCAAGTAAAGGGTCACATATAAAAAAAAAAATATACCAAATGAAGGGTAATGATATCATGCATCTATAAAAAAAAAATTATATTGATTCGGTTATTTTTAAAAAAGTTATAGCAATTTTAAGTAAAAAAAATTTTAAACATTTTGAAAATTAGCGATTTTTAAATTTGTAATTTTTTTGAGGTTTCCCCCATTTACGGGGAACGAGGGAAATTTTTTCAATTTTTAAGGGTAATGTCTTCGACTAGATAAGATATGTGATCTTTTGACGTATCATTGAAAGAAATCGGTTGGGTGAGAGCTGAGAAAAAGTGGTAACAGACACAAAAAAAAAAAAAAATAAACACATCTTATAAAAACCAATACCTTCTCAGCTTCGCATCGAAGCTAAAAGAAATCGAAATTTTGTTTTGAAAAGTAATATTGTGAGTAATTTTTCAATATTTTTTTCTATATTTTACAAAAATTGAAGCATCGAATTAAATGTTATTAGGAAATTTGTTTTATTTTTCAATCTCCCATAATTTCTTCATTTTTTTATCAATATTACAAAATAATATATAATTTTCTTTGTTATGTATTACAGTATAATGTCTATTGAGTATATTATTGATAAATTTATTTTTTATTGGTCTATTTGTATTTTCGGACTCAGTGGACGATTTTACATAAAAAATGACTATCATAAGTCATGGGTCAGAAAATTTTTTTTTATTTGTAAACTAGTGTTATTATTCAGCACTGCATGTAGGCAAACTTAATAATTATTAAAAACAATATATAAATACCATGATATTAGTGAAAACTACATAAACAAATATGAAATTTAAACAAGATTGATATGCGCAAATCAAAATCATATCCTACTAAAAACTATGCGCAAAACAAAAACCAACGGATTTCAACGAATTTTTCAGGGTACTTTGGAATGTCTCTGGTCAGGCATGATAAAATTTTCAGATTATAAAGAGAAAAACGTTGGTGGCACAAAGCATTTTTGATCAAATTTTTAATGCTTATTATGTAAAAAACTCAGCACGGGGGGTCGCGGCACAGTGGTGACGTGGCATAGTTGGATTGGACTAGTACAGATGATATCTGACAGTGATTAAAATCACTATCACAAGAAACGCTTCGATGCAAATCTTTAGTGTTTAATTTAAAAAAATTGGTAAATTATTCCTAAAGCTACATGATCTTCTTTTTCCTTATTTATATCCTGATTAAGATAAAGTATGTCGAATGAAAAAAGGATATAAATATTATTTCTTAAATGTAAAATTTAAAATCGAGAATTTTCACACAAAAATAGCATTTGATAGCCCTTTTCACTGTGAAGACAAAATAAAATCCGAAAATTTTTTTTTTATAATAAAGAACATTATATTAACTTTAATTTAAGATATATATAAATGTGTCAGTATTTCCGGAACACTTTCAAAAGTTAAGTTGAAAAAGTTAATTTTTTGTGAAAAAGTTGTCATTTTAAATCCCCCCCCGGTGGGCTGGTAAAGGGTTAAATTTATAAAAAATATACTAAATGATAGGTAAAGACATCAAGCATCTATAAAGAAAACAATTATATTGATTTGTTCATTTTTGAAAAAGTTATGGCAGATTTAAGTAAAAAATATTGAAAAAATATCAAAAATTAGCGATTTTTAAATTTGTAATTTTTTTGGAGATTTCCCCCATTTACGGGGAACGAGGGAAATTTTTAAAATTGTTGAGGATAATGTCTTCGATTAGATACAATTTGTGATCTTTTGACGTATCGTTGAAAGAAATCGGTTCGGTGAGAGCTGAGAAAAAGTGGTAACAGACAAAAAAAAAAAAAAAGAAAAACACATCTTAGTAAAACCAATACCTTCTCAGCTTCGCATCG